CAAACTGAGTCTCCTTCAATAAATAGCAGCTGAGGTAACAAGAGGACCAAGGCAGACAACATGCTGTGTAAGTGCCACGTTGCCAGAAGACTCTGGCTGATGCCATTACAGTCACTGGTAAACAGCCAGTGGCTGGGCTACATCCTATCAGCCCCACATCAGGTTGTTGGGGGGGCACAGAGGATCATGAGTCATGTGGGCTTGTCTCCTTCAAAGGCTGTGGGGACAGGTCTGGAACACCTGATCATCAGACATAACAACTACTGTCTGTTAGACATACCAAATGTTTGATGATGTTCTGACTTTGTGAAATTATTAAATTCTAATGATCTTATCTCGTGTTGAGAGACAGCACAACTTTGGAGCTTCATTGGAAGGCGAAAATTAAGTGACTCTTACTTAAACATCTTTGAGTTGTGTTCCAATGGCTTGCTCTATTTCCCTAATAAGCAGGGTTCTACAGCCTGAGTTTTGAAGAAGGGACAGGAATGCACTTCATCTCATGCATGTTTCCAAGGCCTTGCTGTCTTTGAGGACTACAGAGGAGAAATCTCTACTCTGCATAGATTCTCATTTTCCACACTGACTATTTACATTTTTTTTCTAGTTACCTCCCAACACTACTGATTCCTATTTGTCATAGTTGGAAATCAGCTTCCTGTAAGGACAATAATGACTGATGAACGTAGGCTTCTCTTACTGTGGGGCATACTTCAGGGGCCCCAGGCGCTCCAAGGGATAGTCTTGGACGTGCTAGGACACATATCCTCTTGGGGAAAATGTTCACTCAGAAACAACTACACCAGGGGGTAAAATGTCAAGTGCCACAATAATATACTAAGGCAGAAGTCAGCCTGAGGACTGGGGGTCGGGGACCGGGCTAGGAAGCCCAGTTGGGTCTTTAGGGTAATGAAGGATTTGCATACTTCAGATGATGTAGCTGAAGGTGAGGCACAGCAGATCCTGAAACCACCTGAGCTATTTTCCAGCCCTAGCCATTGTCCCCAGGCTCAGCACTGCAGTTCTTTTCCTCATTCGCCACCTGCCTACTTGTTTAAACATTCAATAATAAAAGCTACGGGGGCTGGTGTATTTTCCGAGTTTTTGTTTCCACTGCTCCTACCTACTGTAGAGATATCAGAGGCATCTTCTAGTCTGTCCTTCCCATGGTGCTTTTCAAAAGGACAATTTTCAGGAATTATCATGAGCTAATATGACAATATGGCCTTCGTAAGGTTTGGGTTCATTTTCTGCACTGGTACTGGGAATCTCCTTGGGGTTCTGCTCTTTGCTTTTCTGACCCTGAGGTGAAGTCAGCCAGCCTCTTGATTCTTTTTAAATTTTGTCCACCATCAGCCAAAACAGCGGCCCTCTTCTTTCTACCCCTGCTACCCAGCAGCCAGACCTTTAACATACAGCTCCTCTCTGCCTAAGCAGTCCATTTGCATTTCTAAGGCTCCTCATGCTGCCTGACAAAGGTTCCTTCCTCTAGGAGAGCCTGGAATTGGGGGGTTCTTAGGTTTTTATTCTATTGCTGTTCTAAAATTCGTGACAAAAGTAGCTCAGGGGAAAGGGGGTTACTCTGGCTCACAGTTTCAGGTTGTAGCCCCAGTCCAGGGAAGTCACTGCATGCAGCAGGTGCTGCAGACAGCTGATGTGACATGCAGCCAGGAGCAGAGGATACAGGATGCTTGTCTCCCCTTTTCATTTAGTGCAGAGCCCAGCTGACACGTGGTACAGATTACATCCAGGTAGACAGATCTTCCCACATCCTTACAGAAGCTGACTTCCAACTACTGCACGTATGTTTTTCTGGGATTCCTGAGTGTGGGAAGGAGTGGGTCTCTGATTCTTGTGCCTTCTCTTGGGCTCTTTTCCTTCTGTTGGTTTGTCTTGCCCAACTACAATGTGATAAATTTTGTTTTATCTCATTATTTTTTATTTTGTTATAGTTTGAAAAATGAATGAATGGAAACCTAGCCACTAGGGTAAAGATAACAGCTGAACTGTCATACCTCCTGGGAGCAGGAAAATCAGTTTTCTCCAATGGAGTAACACTGGGTATACCAACCACTCCAGGGTAAATCTCATGCCCAGGAGTAGCTGGTCAACATATAATAGACTCTAAAGTATTTTTGTGTGCTTTTATTTAGTTACAGTTTAATAGAACTTCTGTTTTTTGTTTGGGGGTGTTTAATTTTCTTGGTTTGGGAGGGTTTTGTTGTTATATTGACTTCTCAAGAAAGAAATTAAAGTTGGGTGAGCAGGGAGGGAGAGAGGATCTGGAAGGACTTGGGGGAGGGGAAGAATATAATCAAAATATATTTAAATTTAAAATTGTTTTAAATAAAAAGTATTTTGGCTGGGTGGTGGTGGTGCACATCTGTAATCCCAGCACTTGGGAGGCAGAGGCAGGAGAATCTCTGTGAATTTGAGGCCAGCCTAGTCTACTGAGTGAGTTCCAGGACAGCCAGAGCTGTTACAAAGAGAAATGTTGTCTCAAAAAAAAAAAACCAAAACAAACAAAAAAATTCTTAAAAAAGAATTAAGCCCTATAATCAGCATGTCAGGGATAGTTATGATTTATTCCTTATTGATGATGTATCATTGGTCAGTCTAGCTCTCATTGCCTTATGTTTCTCATTTGAAATGTGGTAAGACTCTGAATATGAAAGTCTTCTAGATAATAAATTTATTCACATAAAAAATAAAAACTTAAAAAATATGTTTATATATAAAACAGGCCCCCCCTTCCCAGATGACTACAAATCCTGCCAAATTTTAAGCAAACTTGTGTTTGTTTGTTTTGAGCCAGGATCTTATGTAGTCAAGGCTGGCCTGAAACTTGCTATGGACACAAGGATGAGTATTAGCTTCTAATCCTACCACCTCCAGCACCCATGTATTGTACTTATAGGCATGTACCCCACTCCTGGTCCAAAAGACATTGTTATATGTGAGAACTTAGCAAAATGACTTGTGATTTTGCAGAGACAGAACCATCTTCAGAACTACTTCAAGAGTCAAAGCATCTGGGAAGAAAAAGTAGAGGTCTCCCATTGGTTCTGTTTCTTGGTGAAAGGAAAGGCCAGCAGAGAGGGAGGGAGGATAAGCAACACAGTTCCATAAAAGGCCAGATATTGGGAGGCTAAGGGAGAAGTTTGGGAGGAGAGGGTATAAAAGGTAATCTGAGAAAGTATAACTGGCAGAGAAATATCCTGTTCACAAGAGTACTGTGTGTTTAGTTGCACCACTGGAGTATGAGATGGTTATCACAATCCTGGAATGTAGGAGCCAGGCAGGTTCTGAGTAGCATCAACTCTTAGTGGAACAAAGTGTTTTCTTAATTTAACCATCATTGCTTAGCAATAAAAGTTCAAAACATTTCTCCACTAAATATAACAAGAAAAAGATAATGTTGAATGACAACTGATTTAGGGAGTCCATTACTCCTGTTGGGTTTCAGCAACATTTTAATGACTGACAATGGAAATGACATGTAAATTGCACACATAAAAACAATATGAAAATACTTGACAGATATATGTTTTGAGAAAAATACAAAAGAAAATGATCATTAGAAGCAAAATTGGTTCTGCTTTTCTTCTTTTGACAAAGAAAAAAGTGAGACACCCAGTTTTGCATTTGACTAGGCATATCTTCCATTCATTCTGTATTATTTAAATTAAAAAGTAAATTATTGGTATCTTGACTATATATTTAAAATGTCTTATATTTATCAACCTTCGAATTTTGCCTTTTTCTATTCTCCTATGAAGAAACACACATTAAGAAAACAACAAAACCAAGAAAAACTCAAAAGCTGCTAATTTTCCGAATGATAAGCCATGAGATACCTTCAACCTTACTGTCCTCTGCCTCCACCCTAATTCTAATATATTTAAGTGATATGTTCACATGCTTACGCATTTTGTTCCACACATTTGTCCCTGCGTAGGACAGTCAATTAAATTCGAGTTTACAATAAGTACTAAGAAGATATTTTTTTCCCAAGCAAGGTGCCATATTAACATTTCTTAGGACATATTTTATACCACAAAACCAACAGCAAAACATACTATCCAATTAAAATTCAGACTGAAAGTTAGATACATATCGCTTGCACACACAGTAATCTGCTTCTCAATAAAATATTTGTAATTTCAAAATTCCTATTATTTCCCCATACAATATAACAAGAAAAAACTAATATATGGTCCCTTATTTTGAGGGAAAGTAGCATAAACATGATTTTTAAACTAAAAAGGATATTATGAAAAATAACAAAGTCACCAAAAGATGGAAGATGAATATATCAGTGCCTACACGTTAGAGTGATCTTTTTAAAAAAATACGTTTAAAAGTAGTATCATGTCTAAAAGTTCCAGATTAATGGGTAGTATCTAATTATGAACATCACTCATCAAAAATAATTAGTACAAGCAAACTAGCACAAAATGATTTAAGTGTAAGTAGAGCACTCATTACTAAAGGGTAAAGATTTTGGGTGAGTACTGATTCCATGTCCCAATTCATCATTTCTTTATCAAATTTAGAAATAATCTGGAAAATAGAAAGTAAAAAAAATTAATCATTTGTAATCTATTTCTCCTTTTCTCTTGCAAAATCATCAGGATTGAATCTGGCACTGCTCCAGCCCGTGAAATACTGGAAAGAACCTGCACCTGCCAGGCTCAGTGCAGAAAACACACAGAACAAGAGGGATGGGAGAGATCAGTGACTTGGTGCTTTGGGAAGCAGAGAACTAATTCATTCTGTTGTGGGTTGATTTTGGGGGGGGGCACAATCCCATCCAGTTTCTTTACCAAAATACCTTGCATAAGAAATCCTGTTTCCCTTGGGGGGCGGGGGTTATAGCCTTGAAGACCCCAAAATCCGATGAAATATCCTGTTCAGGGAAGGGGGAGTGGTTGGAAGAGTGCAAGTGACCCTGTGACGTCAGGAAGAAGCAGAGGTTTGAGGAATGGAGAGGAACTCACCGGGCTGCACAGATGTCAAAGGTCAAAGGGCACAGCCTTGCAGGCTCCCCAGATGCAGGACAAAAATGAAACGCCCACTCCTGAACTCTCTCAATGTAAAGCAGGAGTCCAGGGGCTCGGTTGTTTCTGCCTTTGACGCCAGGGACAAGTCCTACCATGCACAGTCCTGGCAACAGTCAAAAGCAAGGCCCGCCCGATTCCAGAGCCCTAGCTCGGGAATCCCCTAGCACCCCTTCCCCCCCCGCTCCCTCCCGCGCCGGAGGCCACAGACACCTTCATCTTCGCTCCCCACCTTCTCCTGGCCCTCTCGCTCTTAACAGCATCGGTCTCCATGGCGACCTGAAACCGCAGCTCCCATTGGCTCGTTCAATATGAGGGCCGGGCCAATGGGGAGGGCCGGCCCTCTCCTTCCGCCCAATGGGGCGGGCGCGCAGCTTGCCCGGGGACGACGGCGTGCTGACGTTCCCGGGTGCCGGGACTGGCCGGGCGGGCTGGCGGCGGGGCGGCGGCCTCCGAGCAGTCTGAGTGGCTCCGGGGCTGAGTGCGCGTGGACGCTGGCCGCGGCGGCGGCACTATGGGCACGGGGTAGAGGCGAGCTGCCGCCGCCACCGGGGTGGTGGGAGAGCCTCTTCGGGGGAGGGGGCGGGTGGGGAGGGAGGGACGGGCAGCGGCGCGGTGGCCGCACTTCGGGCCAGTTTGCCCCGGTGCCGCAGCGGCGACCCCTTCGGCGCGGATGTCCCTGGTTCCTGGAGCGACGATGACCTCCCCCTGAGCTGGAAAGTAAGTGCGCGGCGCTGGCGGGAGGGCGGGCGCGGGGCTCCCGGGGCGCGAGCTGCCCTGAGCGCGCCGAGCCGGGACCTGGCGACGGCCGGGCGCCCCCCGCGGCTCGCTGGCCCGGGTCGTTCCGTCCCCGCCGCGTGCTCCGCCATCCCGCCTGCCTCTCCCCCTCCTTCCCCGCCCCGGGCGGCGCACAACTTTGCCCCGCACGGCTCGGTGCGGCCGCTTCTCCTCCGGCACCGCGCCACCGCTTCCCGAACTTGAGCCCCGCGGCTCCCGCGCGCAGTCGCTCCGGGAGCCGGCCGTCTGTAGGTCCGTCCCTCGTTCCTCAGAAGCAACCGCTTACCGCTGCCTCCCACGCCCGCCCCCACGTATCGCCCTGGCTCTTGGAGCCGTACTGGTGCTCGTGGCGACCGCCCGGCGGGTCCAGGGCTCCCAGCTCGCGGCAGCAAACCGCACGCTCCTCCCTCGCGGGCGCCCCAGCTCCAAGGCTACGGGCCGCCCTCCCGCACCGCCCTGCCTCCTCGCGCTGCCAGGAGTTGGAGCGGGGCCGCTGCACCCATCGGAGGATCGGGGGGTCCCTGTCCCCCCCTACTCCTTAGGAAACGAGGGGACCGGCGGCGGGGCCGGGATTTAGCGGTGTGGTGGCTGAGTGCGACACCCCGCGAGCGCAGGCAGCGGAGGCGCCGCGGTTGCTCCGGGCGTCGTGATAGGCAGGTGTGTGTGTGTGTGTCCAACGGGCGACGCGCGCTGCCAGCTCGTAGGCTGGCGACAGATTGTGCTGGAATGCAAGGAATGCACCAGGGACAGAGTCCGCACGGGCCGCGGCCGCACTAGCGCCTTCTCGGCCCTGCTTTCCCCGCGCAGCCAGAGGTCACGGAGCATCTTCAGAGCTGGTGAGCCTCCTTCACTCTCCTGCCTCCGCTTCTCTCCTTGTGGCAGGGGGCGGCGGAGAAGGGAGCGCGGTAGTTTCTTGGGGCTCAGCTATGGTTCTGGGTTTTTGCTGCATTGGTCTCCAGGACCGTGAATTTGGGTGTCAGTGTAGCCAAGGTTATTGATCGTTGCACAAGGTTCTTGGCAAGTTTGCTTTTCCAAGGTTTGGATAGCGCATTTTTTTTTTTAACTAGGATTTTCTGAATACCCGCAGAGACAGGGCCGCATGTTCTTGAGTGACGAGCTTGCAGCCAACATATTTTAGCTGTATCAGAAAATGCGTTTTAGTGCTCCAGGTCCGGGCTGTACTGCGAGAAATCTTGAATACATCACTGCTGTCATAAGGATCGGAGTATTTTCCCTCGTCATACTGGGCTGTGTTTAGGCCTTGTATAATACATAATGAATAGAAACAGAGCAGCAGTGTTTGGCCAGCGATGGGACAGATAGAACTGTCTGGTACAGTGAAATTCGGGGCGTGTAAGTTACCACTGCAAGTAACTCGGGGACATCACAGCCATGTATATTTCAAGATGTAATTTATTAGTGGAAGGGGTCATTTTTCTCTTTGTCACCGAGTTTCACTGAACAAAAAGCAGACTCCTACAACTTTTAAAGATTGGCATATATGTATAAAATTAATAATAGCTAGTATACATTGTTTTGGTCAGTCAACACAGAAAGGCAAAATTTTGACATGTGTTTTCCCATAACCGAGGTTAAGGCTTTGTTTTTGAGAAAGTAGAATTCATCCCTTTTTAGATGGAGTGTATTGCATGGAAGTATCTTCATTTCTGACACCTGAGAAACAGCTGTGGAAAATGGCAATGTGAAAGCAAGAACAATGTCTGAAGGAAGTGTTTCTGGCTGTTTCTAAGCATGTCCTGTGGACTTTCATTCCACACTGTTTGCTTTGAGGGTTGCAGGCACCAACCTGCATTTGGTTATTTTTGTATCGGATTCAGTAAAATAGAAGTCAGTTGTCCAACCAATCTCCTGTCTTCCAACCCCTATTTTGCATGCACCAAGGGCATTGAAAAGTCTGCAGGCATTTTAGTTACCCAAGCTAGATGAAATGAAAGGTTGTGTCTTCTAGTTGCTACATTGTTTTTCAGGTATGTCTGTAATCAGTGAACCTTCTAATTTAGAGGTTTAATTCGCCTACAGTAACAATGTGGAGGATTTTGGGAAGTGTTTGTAAATGCCTACAGGAAACTTTTATTATGTAACAATACATTATAACAGTTTAACTCTTGTTTAATTGGGCTTCAAGATTAGAAAGTTAAAGCAGAAGGTGGAGACCCCAAGCCCTGCTTTTGCTCCCCAAAATGTAAAAGGGAATTTAGTTTCTCCGATGCATCAGAAGTGGAACATTTTGTTCAAGTATAGGAGTGTGATTGAGCAGTTAAGTTTCACCTGCTTCAGATAAACGCAGGCTTTCAATTGGAAATACATCCTGTTTGTTAGGAAGGCTTAAAGAGAGGGGACACATAGTCTATAATGATTGGAAATATCAAACTGTTTTGGTCAAAGTCTCTACCTCCTATTATATAAGGAGAAGGTGCTGCATTTGGCATGTAATTGCCATACGGAAGACTCAAATGGGAGGGATGTTTTCTCAGAGGGAGGTAGAGTAAGTAGCAGGGAAATGATGGCAAGCCTGAAAGAAGGAAGCAGCTGCTATTGAGCCAGAGAGAAAGTCATACCCATTGTTGCTGCGTTTACAGGCTGCATAAACCAAAGATAATCTTGTGAATGGATCTGACATAATATAAACTTAAAGAACCCACTACCAATTTTCATCTAATAAAAACCTGAGTATTTAGATGAAGTCTGCATTAAATCATGGCTGCAATAATTTTTCTTTTCTGTACAAATTGGCAAAATAAATTTTAAAATTTAAACTAAGTTGATTTTTTAAAATTTATTTAATTTTATTTTATTCGTGTTTTGCCTATATGTATGTCTGTGGAAGGGTGTTGGATCCTGGAGTGACCATTGTGAACTGCCTTGTGGGTGATGAGAATTGAACCCTGGTCCTCTGGAAGAGCAGTCAGTGTTCTTACCACTGAGCCATATGTCCAGCCCTTAAGTTGATCTTAAAACATCTAGTTGTTTTCATCTTTTAAACAACACGTCTATCCCATCCCCCACACTCCCCTACCCCCATTAGTTATATAGAGATCTATTGAAATAGATTTTCCTAGCTGGCATTCGCCAGCCACCAGGCAAATTGTGACCCGAACCTCACTGCTTTCTAAGGAAGACATTTTGAGAATGGTCTGCATTCTAATGTTTTTAATTTACTTTGAGAAATCCTTGCTTAAATCTAAAGTGGAAAACAACTTTTCTTTTTTAGTTGAGGAAAAATAGAGTTTGCTGTAGGGTTGTTCTAGAACATAAACATCCATGGAGTTGTATGTCACTTTGGAACGTTGCCTTCAGCTTTCAGGGATGATTCCTTCTTCCATATGGAAAATCAGCTGTAGTACCTTTCTGCACGGAAGGTGAAGATGGCTCTGAAGCAGAACACCAGGGGACAAGATGTGTTTGGAGAATTAAGTAACTGTTTCATAGCCAAACTTGAACCACAGATAGTTGTACACGAGAAGGTAAAACTGTGAGGCACATGGATATCAAACTTCATGTAGGTTCCAGGAGTGATGCGCTAGTCATCAGGTGGCCATCAGCTGGTCATCTTTATGCCAGGAGTGAGAATCCGAGTAAGGGGATCAGGCCTGCAGATGCCAAGACCTACAGCTTTGTGTGTGATGGTCTCACAGCTCTGAAGTGCTTCTCACATTGCCACTTAATAATTCAGTGGAATTACTGACTCTTTAGGGGCTATGTCACAGTGACTAAATTGGGTGTGTAACAAGAAAGAACTCCTCAGTTAAACCTAGAAGTGCTTCACATATGCGTTGGTTAAGTTGCTTTTCTTGTTTTCCTTCTGTAGCTTAGATTTCCCTTTTACCCAATATACTAATAAATGTTGATCACATTGCTGATCATTCTATTATTCATAGCCTTGATAACATAGTTTATTATGTGACTCATAATGATTCATGACTGATGATAAATTGTCCATAGAAGCTGGTTTGTAAGGTTTTAATGATATAAAATATGTAAAATATGGACTTCTCAGAACCCCTAGTTGTATCATATGAAGCATTTTTCATGCGCTGAAAAGTGCCTGGTTGGGTAGAGGATGTTGTACAGATAGCCCTCGCAGAGCTCAGTGCTGTCAATGGAGTATGTAGAAGGAAAGCAGAGGAGCCAGTAATTCTTTCTGTGACAGCCACAATGTGAATGATTTCTACTGTTAGTAGCGTTTCTGTTGCAGCAACAAAACACCATGACCAGAAAACAAGTTGGGGAGGAAAGGGTTGATTTGACTTTTACTTCCATATTGCTATTCATGATCGAAGGAAGTCAGGACAGGAACTCAAATAGGGCAGGAGCCTGGAGGTAGGAGCTGATGCAGAGCCCATGGCTTGCTACCCCTGGCATGCTCAGCCTCCTTTCTTTT